GAGCAAATCCATCTGGCGGAGTCAGGTTACCTGTGAACCCCCTTTATACCAAAACGCTGCCAATACGCCATTATACAGTAGCTGGAAGTTAGAAACACGTTCAGCGCTCGTCTGGAACACGTCAGATACGTTGGTATGCCAATTGGAGAGAAGTTCTTGATAAGTTACACATCAGTTATGCACAAGTTACTCGTAGGTTTTGGATAAGGTTGACGCCACGACTTATGAGTAACTGACACTTAACGTTTGTCAACGATCAGATAACTGACCTGGAACTCATTGCATACGCTGAGAAATGTTGAGCATGTTCAAATTTTCCCGACGTACTCGCCATATGTCGACCTGTGCCAGCGTGTTTTAGCGTACCTCAGCGTGCTCATAAATTATACAAAATGTACCAATAACTTGTCCACTGTATGCCAGCGTTTTTGCCAGATTTTCCATACATTGGGCATATGCTAGTCTACATCGTCAAGGTGGGACAGGGACTTTAGTACATCATTTCTTAGATTGTAATATCTAATATTTTCTTAAGTCCAAGCAAAATTCCTGCTGATTAAAATTTGATTAAATCTGAATGAAAAGATCAGAAACCAAAACTTCTACAAAGATCTTTAAACTCAGATTAGACTAAATCAATTTCCACTCATCAGTAGTCTGTAGGCTGCAGCTGGACATGTTCTGTCTGAGCCATGTTCGTTTTCCAAAGTACTTCTCAGATTTCTCCAGATCTCATTATTTTCACCTTCAGCTGCTTTCCAGCAAAGTTTTGACCTTATTGTGTTTTTGCAGGACGTTCTGGTGGACCAGCGCACGGCCCTCGGTGATTTACTGCAGAGCCTGCTGAAGCAGCGAGACCAGAGGGAGCAGGAGCTGCGGGCGGTTCTGGTGAGGAGGCGTTGGGATGAGAGGCGGAGCTAAAGGCTTCAGTCAGAATTTGATTTGGGGTTTTGTTTTCAGGTGGAGATGGAGAAGAAATCCGACTCCAACGAGCAGAACTATTGGATGATTCAGTACCAGCGCCTGCTGGACGCCAAGCCTCTGTCGCTGCGGATGCAGGTCAGTTTAAAGCAGGACGATCTGTCAGACCAGATCTGCAGACGTTCTAAAGCAGGTTCTTGATCGCAGGAGGCGGGTTTGGAGAAGGAGCTGGTGAACCTGCTGTGCAGACTGTCGGCGCAGCAGTACCTGCCCACCCTGGCTCACCATCACATCACCACCGAGACGCTGCGCCACATGACGACCTCGGACCTCAAGAAGGTCAGTCTGGAACCGGAGAGTTGGAATGTTTTTAAAGTCGTAGGGAAACGGCTGTTCTAACCGTTTCATTTCTGAATTCTCCCGAGTGGTTCACGACTTTACACGAGTGAATAAAACTCGGGCAGGGTTGTCGTGGCTGAAGGTTTGGAAGTAAGTTTGATTGTGGCCATTTTCTCGGAAGCATCTTGCTAACCAGTTAGCAACTTAGTAATAGCAGGTTCCCAATGGGAAATTCCATTGGGACCAAGTAGCACTAAATTGGTGACCTAGAAACGACGCTGTCAAGGAACGCTATGGACAGAGGAAACATGCAAGAGGAGGAGAGTTTAGTGTCGGAGGTCGTGGATGAGTCTCCTCCGTCATCCATTTTTTATTTAGAGGAGGAAAGCGGGGACGAAGATGTTGTGGAAGAGGACGCCAGGGCGGCAGAAGCTTGGTTTGGTGTAGAAGGCTTCCAGCCGTACATGTTTGAGCCCTTGCCTCGCAACGCTGCCAGTTCTGTTAGCTCTACGCCTGCTGAAGACACAGATGGGAAAGGAAAGGATTCTTATTTCAACCGTTGCGTATATTAGCTGCAACATATGAATCAAGATGCTATGACCGAAAAAATTTGATTGACAGATGACCGTTGATATATGATTGGCCGAATTTAGGTGTTCAGGCTGACATAGAACTAACTGGCCTGCAGAAGATAATGAAAAAAAAAATGATTTTTAGACAGGATTTTTTTTTCAAAATAGAAATTTTCAAAATTTTGCTACAATATGGTCTGATAAACAGTACATTTATACACATTTTTAAGCCAGAATTATTTGACATTTAAATATGACTTCCCTACGACTTTAAGGCTCAAGTGACAGAAATGATTCAGATTCTTGTTAGTTTCACTGATTAAGGAGGAAACAGACAGAAACTTCTTATGGTTAAGAATTTTTCCTTCCTGGTTTCCAGTTGGGAATCAGTGAAGCTGGGATCCAGAAAGCTCTGCTGAACTGGGCTCGGGAACGCCAACCTGCAACAGGTAAGACACCCTCCCCCATCCCGCTACCAGTAGATGTTAGAACCAGAACCTGTTTTCCACTCCTAACCCTCTTCTCCTTCTATAGGAGCTTGTAAAGCTGTTCAGAAGGACGAGGAGGTGACCCCCACAGCTCCGACTCCACCCCCCTCTCCACTTCTCCCCAGCACCTCCACCATGCTGACCCCCAGCCCACCACGATCACCTCGGACCCCTGGGACTCCCGTCACCCCGTCGGCGCCCGCACCGGTGGAGGGACCAGGAAGCTCGGAATGTGTGGTCTGCATGGAGAAGGAGGTAAGAACCAGAAGGATCCGATGAAGGAATTTCTCTGCAGTCGGTGCTGCAGCGCTAAGCAGGAAACGCCAGTTTCCTCTCTTTGTTTTGTACTCAGCTGACTTTTCATGCTGTCTCTAAAGGAATGAAAGATTTTTTCCAAGCACTAAGCTCACTTAGCTGATTGCTCCTTCCTGTGTTTCCAAAAAGGCCAAAGTAAATAACCCAGTCCTTCTTTTCACTGTAGACAAGCCATGATCTGCTTATCTGTTCTCCATTTTTCATTTGGATGAAATAATAGCTGCATGAATCATGACAGCAGACAAGATAGAGGAGAGCAGGAGGCGGGGTTACCAATCTACTCGCTCTGGAGAGCAGAGTTCGCTGCTTTTAGATGTTGTCTCCAAAGTCTCCAGTAGCAGAAAAAAGTCTCTAGATTTGGCGCTAGGAGCTTTTTAGAAATCAAAGTGCTAGAGGGGTCTGAAAAGTGGCTAAATATAGCGACTAAAGCGCTAAGTTGGCAACACTGCTCTTTGCATGGTTTGTTTTCAAATGGTTTTCTGCTGTCTGTTTGGACCTTTCTGAACATGTGCAGCAAATGGACTGATCCAATATGGTGGATACTGAAGGTCTTAATATTATTAGCATTCTGATGGCATTTTAGCAAAAGGATTTTTATCAAAAACATAATTAATTTGCACAAATAAGGAATAGTTGTATTAACCATACATGTAAAAGTAGTTTTATGGGGCCCCCAGGAACTTGGGGCCCTAGGCACCTGCCTAGTATTGCCTAATAGCAAACCCCCCATGGTTATGTTTACTCTGTTATATTTATTTAAGTACATTTAAAAATAAATGTATATATAGGTAGAAGTTCTTTATCTTTATTTATTTGTTTTATATGGAAATGTTTCTTTCGCCAGAATTTTTCTATGTTATCTTATTGTTTTGATTTTTTTTAATACTGAGAATCAAACTATGAGCCGATATTTATTCATTCTGTCTTTATTTCACTAAACCCGTTTCTGCTTGAGTAAAATCTTGAGTAATGTCCTGATTCTGGATTAGACGGTACCGCCATGGCGATCCGGTCCTTTGTCTCACCTTCCTCCTCTGTTTCAGTCTCAGGTGATCTTCCTGCTGTGCGGCCATGTCTGCTGCTGCCAGGTGTGCAGCGACGCCATGCTGAACTGCCCCCTGTGTCGTGGCACCATTTCCCAGCGCATTCGGCTCTACCACAACTAGAACCTGGACCAGAACCGGCTCGCCCTCTCCACCGACCACCTCTGTGTATTTATGCATGATCTTAAAGCTGCTGTGAGGAAACATGTCGTGTCTCTAATAAAAACACTCTCAGTGCTGAGTCACAGAACCACATCAGAACCCGGATGGTCCCAGAACCCCTGGTTCTATCAGTTCCTGTGGATTTTACTCACAGAAAGGGAGCAGTTTGTGCCTTTTATCATTCAACCTCATTTAGTTTTTCTGCATCTTTAGCCAAAGTAGCAACCCTCCTTCATTTCTAGTGGCTCCACCGTCACTTCAATGCCATGTGGACATCATGTTAACCGTGTCAAAGGTCGTCTGAGTCGAATTTATCCTGCATTTTATCCCACTTTCATCACTGTAGGGTTTATTTTAGACAATTAATGAGAATCATTTATCTGTGAATCTTCCTGGAAGCAAACAGGTTTAATAGTAAAAATGAAAACAGCTGCATAAAGACACAAAAAGGGAGTTCCTCCAGTTTTATAAGCTTGTTTGTAATCACTTCATGTGTTTTATTCTTTGGGTGTTTTAACCCAAATCTAAAGGTTTTATTTCCCCTAATCAGGTTAATCCAGTAAAGCACTTTAAGTCAACATTTTCAAGTCCAGTTTATGGATTAATAATAATAAGGAATTAGATATAGAGAGCTTTTAAAAAGTAGAACGTGCTTCTGTTATTTATCTTCACCCACAGATTTTAAATGTAAGTCCATCCTGTTTGAATCTATGAGAACAGAACAAAATCTTCTTTAAACCAGTTAAATTCGCCAGTGTTTGATAATCTCCAGCATGTCATCAGTTACCAAACAGGGAACTGAACTACAAGCTGATCTTAAGCATCCTGACGCAACATTTACCTCCTTTATGGACCATAAGAAGTTTAGTTTGTCCTGATGTGTAAAACCTCAGAGCGCGGTCCGTCTGCGGCGTTCCTCTATGCTGTTTCCTTCTAGAAAGTGCTCTTATCTCTTCAGTGTTTTCCAGGAAATATCTGAACCAACTGTAAATGGATCAGGCTGAATGTTTTAGGATATTTACACATCACTGTAAAGCTGGTATTTAATGCAACAAGACAATAAACTCTACCTGTAACCCCCCCTGCTGTCTGTGTCGAAGTTTTCTGCCAAGTTCAGGAGCCTGAGTATGACCCGATACTATTCATCAGGACCTTAAAGGAAAAGTCCAGTTAGCAAGGAATTATCAATCGAACTTTATACCTAAAACTGTTATGTTAACAGTGGTTTATTTAATGTAGCGTTAATCAGTAAAAAAAAAATACAAATTTTGGTCATGATCACTGAGTCCGGGAGCGGTCATTTTTGCCCAACCCCTCCCTCCTGCCATCTTCCAGCAGTGACGTCACGGTGCGGTAAGCCTAGCGCCATTCTCCCCGCTTTACAAGCTAAATCAATGGGAACTACTAGACACATCTGCAATCA